GATAAGATTAGTCTCTGAGCACAGACATAATGATGACTATACTGTCAGGAGCTTTTGTATTTTAAATAAAACAGTAAGTTGGAACTGTTTTTTTGTATTTTACACATATGCTTGAATCAGCACTTTTGCCCAAAAATAATGGACCAAATCTCATATCCTATACTAGTACAGCCCTGGCACGTTATATTATAGATCATGCCTGATATTCTGGGATGGATCGGTACAAATTTTATCATGATTGTATCATGGCTGATTTTCACAGTTGTATCATGACTGATGACACGAAAACCATGATTCAGGACTGATATCAGTATGTTTCAGACTGATACCAGTCCTGATCTAAGACGATAGCAATTGGTTGTGTATTTACATTATGCCACACACACACATGTATTACATATCACATTCAATTAGGTCCAGTATTCAAGAACTATAACTCAGTTTCATTATCTTTCATGGTCAGTAGCAGCCCCTCCAGCTAACCCAACACCACTCCTGGACTTCTGGAGGTAACTCTCCCTCTCTCTCTCCCTTCCTCTTCCTCTTTTTATAATAATGTTTTTATGATGTGGTCACCCGTTCACATTCTGTTTGTACAATACGCTTCCTTTCCAGTCTTACTCTCTCAGTAGTACTTGAAAGGTTTCTTTCCTACACCACAATATGTATATGTATCACATGTATAGAGAATATTACATGTACATGTATTATTACATATATTAGCTATTGTATTGTATGTATATGTACATACTATTCATTCAATCCTTTGATTTACAGCTGTTACCAATTTCCCCTTCTCTTCCTCTTTCTCTCTTTTTGTTTCATTTCTTTCCTTTATAGGAAGGTTAAAACAGCTTATACTCTGCCACAGTCGCCTGTACTGGTTCATTGCAGGTATGTCATTAATAATAATGATATTGATAGGATTATTATTAATTATTATTAATCACACAGTGAAGGTGTCGGGAGAACTGGCACGTATATATTGATTGATATGACTCTCTCAAGGATTACATCAGGTAATGATAATAATAATAATTATTATTATTATTATTATTATTAATTAATTAATTAATCAGGGGCTAAGGAGATTAATTTGGCTGGAGCAGTTGAGCATTTGAGGGACCAGCGGAAACAAATGGTCAAGACTAAGGTACGTCTCTTTAAAGATGGATTGTAATTTTAATACATGAAATACTTACACGTATGTAATGTCGAAATTTAAGCTGAATTTGGTCAATATTGGATTATTTTACGAATTTTTAAAGTTGCTCCAAAATTGGACAAAAGTCCCTGTACTAGTATAGTACAGGGTCATTGGCCAAATTTTGCCAAGAATTTAAAAATAAAAAACCTTCATTTTTATTACATTTCCTGATACATATACATGTTCTTATGTTCTGTAGAAAGTTTAAGCTGATTCCGATCAAAATTGGATTTTTTACGAATTTTTAAAGTTGCTCAAAAATCAGGTTAAGATCCCTGTACTATAGTACAGGGATTTTGGCCAAATTTCGCCAAAAATGAAAAGGAGAGAGTTCTTCATTTTAATGACATTCCCTGATGCATATACATGCTCTTATGTTGTCTTTATTTTATTGTTTAGTCTCAGTTTGAGTTTGCACTCGATGCTTTGGTTCAAGAAACTCAGTACATGCTAAATGCAGCACAAAAGAAATAATAAGAATAATAAGAATAAAATAATAATATTAATAATAATAATAATGATAGTAATAATAACAATAATCAATAATTCATTTTTTATAAATATCAGTGTTCTGAATGATGTATTATTATTTTTCTTTACATAAAATCATAGCTGTCATCATCATAATCATCATGTTCATCGTATTCACCAAACGCACTCAAATCGGCTTTCTTTGACGCCTTCCCCGTTGCTATGGTACCCTTAGCCCCGCCCTTTTTCTTCGTCTTGGTTGATTTCACTGCTTTGCTCTTCTCTGTGGCCATCAAAGACAATGTACCGCTTAACTTTCTTAGATCTTCTGAATCCACTAGTTATTAAAAGGGGTGGAGTCAAGTTAATTAAAATGGGTGTGGCTTACATCCAGCACAGCAGCTTCTCAATAGATTGTCCATAAATCCTACGTAATGAGGTGACCCCTATTAATTAACTCATTAATCGTTATATATAACTTATTGTAATAACTAACCGCTAATAATAATAATCTCGTTTTCAATAATTGTAAAAATTCATCAAATTCTTCGGACGTCTCTGGTACTACTACATTACTATCACCTCCGGTCACACCGAACAGTTGCTTAGCAACCTCAAGGTCTGCGTCTTTCTGTACTTGCTGCAGTCTCAGTTTCTCAGCTAAGATCTCCTCTGGAGTAGGTGTGCCCTTAAATAATAATAATAAAACTATTATCAATTTAATATTATACAAATAATGTGTTTTGTAAAAATCTTGTCACCAGTAATTTCTTCTTAGTCATTAGTGATGATTATCATTCACATTTAATAATTGAGTCATTTAATTCTGGTGCAAGATTTCTTAAAGCTGGTAATTTCAGAAGAGTCAAATTTGAAAAATTACCTAGCATTTGTTATTGATGGGTTTTAATTTGGCAAATTTGTGTTCATGCTTTATCGAGCATGTGCAAAATGGACCATTTTATTTTGAAAAATGGCCATCGAAATTTCAAAATTTTCTCTTCCAACATTACCAGGTGTACAACAGTAGTTTTATGTTATTATTAGATGAACTATCATCATCATTACTTCTTTTGCAGCTGCTGACAGTTCCTGTGCTCTCCTCTGCGCTTTCTTCTCTTCTATTCTGTCCTGTTTTGGTTTCTTAATGGCACCTATCATTAATAATAATTAATAATTCTCTTAACGAGTTGATAGTTAATTACCAGTTGAAGTAGGAGCTGCTTTCTCTTGCTTTGCCTTTTCAATTTCTTTCTATTAACATCAATCAATCAATAAATCAATGAATAATAATAGTAATGTACATGTATACATATGTAGTGATGGTGTGTGTTAATTTACTTCGATTCCTTCATCTTCTCCTTCCCATTCTCCTTTTGCGACGAAACCAGCATCAGGATCAAACGAGTCTGGATCAAAATCATCAGCCTCTACCAGTTTGATACAATAAATTAATAAAACAATCAAAAATAACTTTTACCCCAGTCTAAGCCACCTTCATCGTCCGCCATCTTGATTCCGTATACTTATTTTTTGTGGTCAAGTTCCACGACACTTCCGTATATTCTATCCACGTGCTAAAATGTGTGAGGAATCAATAATTTTGCTTATTTATTTACTTGTTGTTTTCTTGTAGTTATTTACAATGCTGGAGAATATCAATTTTGAACTATCTGGTGAATCAATGAAGAAATTTTTCCTGATGTAAGTTTTGATTTGATACAAATTTTAATATATGTGTACTTATGCTGTGTAGAAAGTTTGAGCTGATTTACATGTACAATGAAGCACCATGGTGCGTGGACTCGCCCACTGAGATTCACCTGAGGGATAATGTGTTACTTGTATTGCCCCCATCATGATATTATATATATAAGCAACTTGATATTTGAAAAAAGGATAATAGATTTTGACAAAGTGCAACAATGCAATTACTGCACTGATCCATAAAATAAATTATAGGTGTGGTCAGCACCTAGCAGTGCAGTACAGATAAACATGGCACGTGGGTAGGAGAAAGAAGAAAAGCTGAAATTTATTTTAGCATCTGAAGCTCTATTCAAAGAAAGAGTAAGCACAAAAAATTTTCCTAGATATTTAAAAGAGACTGAGATAGTTTGGTTGCTCTTGCTTTCCCCAGTGCTGCCTGAAAATTTTTCGAAGAGGCTAAATCACGAACTTTGAGCAACTGTAACTCGCAAACAAAAAAGAGATTAGAAAATCCCCACATATTTTTTAATCTAGGTACTTTTCTCTACCTATCAATGCTAATCTTGACCAAATAGAGTGAAACACGAAGATTTGGCTAGGAAAAGTGGTCTATTCTTGAAAATATTCAGCTTTTGCTACCACGGATTGCTATGAAAATACAACGGAGCTAAATAAATTATCTTTTTCTCAAAGCTTAAAAAGAATTATAACTCAGGAGAGCTCAGTAAAAAAGATATTGACTAGGAATTAACAGGAATTTTCGTGACAGAATGACAGACAGAATGACAACCCAACTGCTTAGTACCCGCCTACGCAAGCGTGGCGAGTCCAATAAGTCAGTTAATATGAAAGCAGTTATGCACTGCTTTATTTAAAATATTCTCTTTTAGAAGGAAAACTGTCAAGTGAATGCATGTCATGCCATTGCATGTCATCAATGCAATGACTAGACCAATTTAGTTCAAAGTCCAATTGTTGGTTCTTCTGTAGATCTATTTTGGAAGTTTTTTATTACTAAAATAACTGCATAGAAAGGAAATGATTATACAAATCAAGGATATACTACATAGTCTGTAAAGTTTTTAGCAGAAAAGTACAAGTACAATGTTAACCAAGTTGATTTGGATGCTCCACTGTCACGTTTACTTGACTACGAGAGGGATTATCAATCATACCGATGCGAAAACACATATTTTGAAAGTCATGGGATCCAGATTCATCCAAAGATGCTGCCATAAATGGTGGGTTGTAAATGTCACCTTCGTAACAGCCGTCAATATCCTTATGAGGGTTTTCTTTTTTATTCCTCATTATTTTACCAAAGCTTTGTGAATTGGAAATTTTATTCATTGATTTTGCATCATTAAGGATAAGAATAGCAGCTTTATTCCTCGTTAAATTTTTGAATTTTACATAATTTCTGAAAGCAATGACAAAATAACATGGTGTACTTTCACATGTAGAGGCAGAAAGAAAAATCATAGCAGCACAGCCATCCAATGACAAAGACGAATACTTCTCAAACGAAAAACATTTTTTGCTTTTAGAAGGAATGTTTTCATTTAATCCATGATAGCCTGATATACGACCTCTTACAAGAAAGCACTGATGATACATCATTGGATGTGGCGTTTCATTATTAACCGTGATATGACTTGATATATTTGTATTAGAAAAATCTGCCATTTCTTTTCGCAATTTGTGGTTAAGAGCTCCCATCAGCGTTTGAAATTTGTCAACTTCGGTGAGGGCTTGTGCTTCATCACGGCCATGACCATCTGTAGTCCAAGCTCTTCCTCTCTATGTTTAGTGTACATAATGCATAATGACTACAATAAATTAAAATGTCAACACAAACTCATAAAATAAGGATTAAACAATAAAAACTATGGGCATATGTTTATCATCTTTTTACATGAGTTTAATTTACAAAGTACAATGCTTTAATAATACAAATCAGCACTAAATTATAGTCTGAATCCATAATAAGGAGTGGATGGACTCCTATCATGCATGCAATATGTCTATGTATAGCACTAACCTTTGGATGAACTGTTTCCCCCTCATCATCTAAGAAAAATAGATAGGATCAAGTGTGTATTACCATATAGCCAGTTTATTTCATGTAAAATTAGTTTTTGTGCATATCCACCAAAATTAATTCCAATGAAAATTTCAAGAAAAAAATTTGAGGCCAGAAAAGAAACAAACTATAATGGTATTCAATTACCATACCATGGTCATCAGGCATTTTTTTCCCTCAAGCTGACTACTTTCAAAATGCTCTTTAGGTTATAAATACCATTATAATTCATTAATAACTGCTAACTGACTTATAGGATCCTTTGGGTCATCCAATGGCTTTGGCAGAGGTGAAACATTCTCTGATGACGTGCTCCACTTTGGTTCCTCCTTTGATATAATTTCATCCTCATCAGGTGACACACCAGTCTTTGGTGTCTCATCAGATGTTTCATTAGGTGATGATTCTACAGAATCTGTTTTAACTAATAAAACATTACTTGATTAATGTTTATATACCTTCCTTGACCTTTGCTTCTTCAATAGCATGTTGAAGAAGCAATTAATGAAATTAATTAATTATGTAGAAAGAAATTAATTAATTATGTAATTAATTTCATATAAATGTTTATATGAAATTAATTACTACTTTCACTACTATTATATATACATAGCATATTGCAAAACACATGGTGCATTAAAAGCAAGCAACAAACTTTTACTTTTATGGCTAAAATTTGCAAAAACTCGCTTGGCAATCTCCTCTTTTTTCATTTTTTTCAGTGAATCTGCAAGAATAAGATGAGTTGGCCCCCCTTTTTCATCAACTTTGTCACTCCTTTGTATCCACTTTAATAAACAAAAATATAGCCGATCTTCTGTGGTGTCATGGAAATCTTCAATTTTCTGCAATGTGTCATCAGCAAGCCCTAGATTTCTACCTAGAAACTTCCAAGATGATGGATCACATGAAAGGAGTGATGGTTCATCATTTAAAACATCGAACACATCAATCAAGTCATTGATACCTACATTACAGTGAGATAAAACATATGACACTAATTCTCTGTTTTCCATACTAAATTCTTCATTGGATTTTCTAACAGTTTGAGGGGCCTAGAAATATATAATTTTAATCATTTCACTGTTTTTAACACTGTAAAAAATAAGTGGTTAAAATGGTTGCATATCTTTGTGGGTTAATGTGCAATCAGAGTAACTCATTGTGGGGTATTTGAACCACTCACCTTTGAGTACTCAGATAATTTCCAAGCCCAACGGCTAAAAACACATAATGATAATGATAATAACAATAATGCTTTATTGTCATACTGTGCAATTTTTGACTCATCAGCAACAAGAAACACATTGTTGTCATCATGATTTATTAAGGTAAAGCAACATTCAGGATTACTATTGACTGGCCAATCTGCTCTTGCCTGATCCATTTGAACTCTGAGATACACACCAATGCAAGACTACATTATATTACATGAAACCATAAAAATATCAATAACTGACCTCCATTTCATATCTGAATTTCACACGACCATTTACATCAGTTTTGAATTCAATAACTGAAGAACCATCTTCATACAGCATCAGTTGTGCATATTCCTTTTTATATTTTGTGAAAATTTGCCAAATATATGAACCTTTTTTTATTTAATATTGCATGATAAAATTTGTAGATAGGCTTACATTTTCGTTGCAGATAATTTTCTAGCACAATTTTGCATTCACCTATGTAAGCAAATAGAATAACTTTCATAGAATGCTGCTTCAAATTGCATCATGCATGCATGTCTCTGCAGTTGCTTGCCCTTTGGCTTCTAGTCTGTGTCTGCATAGCCAGCCCTTCCCGATCCCTTTGTGCCTATGGGTGCATGAGGGCTGCATAGCTACTTCACTTCAAAGATGAACTTGAGTGCTCTCTGCATGCTGCTCTCTGTTAAGTCAGTGTGCACAATACAATGCTGCATGCATGCTGTGGCAAATCACAATGTCCTAGCTCTCCTCTTACTTAGACCATAAATAGTAAACAGGGCTATTTACTATCTATGTTTATAGACTAGGTGATCAAATCATGGGTTAAGCTAATACAGCATACTACTCGATCATGCAATAAATTTTGTTTATGAAACATGCTTTAGAATACACTTGAAGAGCTACAAAGTTTTTACTGACTTAATAAAGCCCATGCATGCAACATATCCTACAGGCAATATGACATTTGTAGCAACATGTACATGTATGTTGCCAAGAATAAAAATTCTTGGCAAGATGTTGCTTACAAAATCAAAGTTACCGCTAGTAACATGTTGCCAGCTAATATATGAGAGGCTAAAAAGTGAACACTGTTGATCTTCAAGAGCAGAAAAGCCTAAAAAATTTCAGCTGAAGGCAGCAGCAAAAGGCCAGTTAAGAGCTCTTATAACCGTGATCTTTCTAACCATTAAAATCAGGATGTGCTGCCACACTATTGCACAGTTGCCAGGCTAATTCCAGCACTGGGCTTTAGCTGTTATTAAGATTGGTTTTCAGATAGCCCTTACCATCAACATTTACATCAACAATTGTGGAGATAGGAGCCCAGGTATCATAGCCTCCATGCCAGATAAGTTTGTTTTTAATATAGCCCTGTTTACACTATATGACCCCAAATAAAATTTAAAAACAGTCAGTAAGGTATGTTAATTTTATTTATTTACAACTTTACAGTGCCCGGTGAGTATAGAGTAAGAGAGAGTAACATGGAAGAGATAGTATGAGTACAGAGGAACACTCAGTGAAGGACTGACCTAGGTAACTAGGACAGCCTTGGAAGAAAAGAAAAGATAAAACAAAACCTCGGGAGAAAGGGATGAAGAGAGGGGAAGATGAGATACAAAATCACAAATAATAACAAATAAACAATAGGTTAATAACAGTAATAATGATAAAATTTAGTATGCGAAGGTATGTGAAGCATGCCCATGTATTTTATATGCAATGTACCTTAGGGGCTGGCTACCCGAGACTAATATACCTTACAGTAACTTATAGGTGCAAAACTTATTATCATTCTCAGTGGGTACTAATAATTGTGATTAGTAAGAACAATTGTATGATAATTATATCTATTATGTGCACTAATAGTTCAGTGCAATTTTTCCAATACCAAAAAATTAGCAATTCAGTAAAGTTAATTAGCGCGACAGTAAATAGCGATGTGAGCACAATTCGTAAAATCAATAATCTATCTAGACCTACCTTTTCTGGCCATGATTACAGAGTCTTAGAATACAAGGGCAACCGACAAAGCTTAAATCTTTTTATTTGCGTCCTTGCTCCTTTCTGTAAACCTAATAGTCTGCCGTCACATAAATGAATGCGGAATTGGAGGAGCTTTGTGCGTTTGCGTGTTCCGTAAACTACAATAATGCAGAGATGATAGGAATTTACGGAAAACGCATCATGCTTGAATCAGCATCAAGCCAAAGTTTGGTACAAATATCATTGCTGATCATGCCTGTTGCTCTGGCCTAAACCAGTGCAACATTTTTTGTGCAACTGATTTCATTATTGTATTGCAACTGACCACAGCCTGTCACCACACATGCAAAAATTAAGATTCAAGGGCTGATTCAGATTAGCATCAATCTTGATTCAGATTTCCACTCTTGGCTGTGTGAAAAGGCCATTATATTGATGGCTCACTTCCAGTTTGATGAATTACTTGCTGAAATCACATGAATCATAAATAGTCATTGTAGTCTAGATCACTTTTTACTTATAGCATTATTCATTATAAAATGAAAATACAAAAGCTTAGATCAGACAGCATAATTATCTGCTGATTGTCAGTTTGTCAAGGTCCATGCCACTCGTCATTGCAATAACTGGGACCAACTGGTTCAGCACGAATACTACGACTATAAATGGACAAAAGAAACGGAAACTATTACTGTTATTGTTATTATATAAAAGAAAAGAAGCAATACAAAGGAAACTGGGGAAAATATCATTATTATTGTTACTAACGTCAGTAGTCTGCAGCGATGATTCAATAGTCTAGTCCTTGCCCCATTGACATCAGTGACTTTCTTTGGGCTCCATAACCTCTCACCCACTGCACATGCTCTTGGCCTGAATGAATAAACACACAAGATTAAAATATAGATTAAAAATTAACGTAAAGTTTAGTCTAGCATGATGATTACATAAAATTAATGATTGACTAAACAAATCAAAATTAAATATGTGCTTTATTGATAATGTAGTACAATCAGCTTACCACATTCTTGACATAAAGTTAGTAGAATCAACCCATTCTGCCCACAGGCAAGCATGGCCACCGACTACTAGAGACTTTTGATCATCAGTACCTGTCAGATAAACACACAAACTTAAAGCATAATATTCATAATATTAGAATAGGAATGTCTATCATTGTGTTTCATACATGATGAAATAAAAGGAATTGTTAATAATAATATGAACAGAGACTAACCATTAAAATTTTGAGGATCACAACTGTAAAACTGTAAGGAAAGAAAAGAAATAAAGGCATTATAATACCCTCAGGATCTTTGGCTCAATTTTTGAGCAACTTAAAAATTTCATAAAGAATCCAAATTTGATCAGAATCAGCTCAAACTTTCTACACAAAATAAGAACAAGTATAAGTATTAGAAAAAATTATAAAACTTGACAATTCTCTTCTTTTAATTTTTGGCAAAATTTGGCCCGTAACCTGTACTATAGTACAGGGACTTTTGTCTGATTTTAGAATAACTTTAAAAATTCATAAAAAGTCCAAAATTGATTTAAATCAGCTCAAACTTTCTACACAACATAAGAATATGTATATGTACCAAAAAATGTAATAAAAATTGAGATTTCTTTCCTTGTCATTTTGCATGAAATTTGGCCAAAGTATGATACAGGGGCTCTGGCCTGATTTTTGAGCAACTTTAACATAAAAACTATTAAAATCATCTCAATATTCTATGCTACACAAGAATATGTATTGCTTACTTTTTTCCAGTCTTCTCCATAACTAATGTGGTTCAGATACCAACAGCTTGACAGGATCACGTTATAACCAGCTTTAGTTACTGCATCCATTTCTTTCTCCCAGCCTGCCTTCCACACATCAATAACTGTATCCATTTTGATCTATAGAACATTAAAAATAGTAAATTATCATAAAAACCAGTACTAATATACCTTTAGTCCATTGTCAAATATTTCTTGCCACACAACATAACTCTTATTCAGTTTATTGACCAAATCAATCAAACTGTGGAAATTGCAATAGAAATACAATCATTCATTCAATGCTAATGATTTGTACTTGTTTTCATAATATTCTTCGAGTTTAGCATAATCAGTGTATCCCATTTTCTTCATCCATGCTTGTATATCAGGATTACCCTCCCTATAACAATAATGATGGAGACCAAACAGAACTAACTAATAATGGCAACAGTCTTTACTTACCAGCAACCGAATCTGACCTCATCTCCTCCCAAATGAATGTAATTGTCACGGAAAACATTATCAATTTCTTGATAAAAAGAAGTCAAGAATGTCCATGTAGAATTCAGAATTGGATTAATAGGACCATATTTACTAATAAAAGAATGATAGTGTCAACTGGAATAATCTCTATTGAATTAATATATATTTAGCTCAATATCATCCACAAACTTATTATAGTATATACAAAATAAATGCTCCATTCACCCATTTGGTTGGCCATTGGCATAACAAGGAGTCAATAGATCAGGCTGTCCAGCACCCCAAGACTGAGTATGACCCTATCATTAAGAGAAATGATACACAGTAATAGTGAAAGATGATTATCAATCATAGCTTACTGGAGTATCGAATTCAGGTATAACTCTTATGCCTCGTTCATAAGCATAATTAATAACAGTCTTCACATCTTCTTGTGTATAAATGTGCTCATGATCATATGCTCCCTACAAAAATAACCAAAACATGCCAATAATGTTAGTTTTAGAGCTTGTGTTAGATCACATGCAAAAACTAGAAGCAGCCTCCATTGCCATACCTTAGCAGCTAGATCAGGAAAGGTATATGAATCATAAGGAAAGGACTGATCATCCACAATATGCCAATGGAGTATATTAAACTTGCTGTACACCATTGCATCAAGATGAGTTAGTATTGTGTGGAGATTAAGGAAGTGTCTGGAGGTATCAATCATAATCCCACGATATTGAAACCTTGGTTTGTCAGTAATACTTTTCACTTCGTTTATAGCAAGCTAGAGCAACAACAAGAAATAAAAAGTGAAGTTTCTGACACTATAAATCTTACTCCTCCATCTGGCCTGTGATAAATAAGTTGACTAAAAGTTTCAAGTCCTGCAAAATCAAGCCGGAATTATTAATGAATATTCTGAGTTCTATTATTCTTTCTTCTTCACCTCTCATTGCTCCAAATACAGTAGTAGCTGTTATGGATGCACCATCACCACCAACCTTTAAATCATCTACAAAACATAAAGGAAATATGAGTTGCTTTAGGCTTGCTTAATTACATGACTCATCAGTGGTTAGATTCAGAGATTCATCTGTGCTTTTCACAGTTATATCAAGTCCTGTTAGAGGTCCCTTTGGTTGAGTGGCTCCACCAGAAGGATAGAAAGGAGCAGGAGACTGGAATATGA